TCTCTCTCTCTCTCTCTCTCTCTCTCTCTCTCTCTCTCTCTCTCTCTCTCTGAGGGGGATTAGAGACTTGCCCATGGGGTACATAGTGTATTTTTAAGCTGCTCTTTCCCTGCTGTGTCTCCAAACGCCAAACCCTTTCTCTCTTACACGCACACATAGGTTTTCATATCACTATGAGTTCATTCCATAGGCATAATGGTTTTTATACTGTACAAACTGTATTTTCAACCCCCTTACCCTAACCCTACCCTTAAACCATTTTTTGATTTTTAAAACACTTCATTAAAACACTATGATTTATAAAAAAATGTCCTCACAAGTTCCAAATTTACTGGTAAAACTATCCTTTTGGGGACATTTGGTCCCCATAATGTAGGGAATACCAGTTACACACACAGTCTAATGTTTACTACAATCTAAATGAGGACATACTGCTTATATTGTTTTAATGTGGAGCATTCTATTCTATTCAGGACATCCCCAAATGTCCAATAGAGAGGTTACGTTAGATTTAGCTATCTTTTGGGGACAACACACACCTGATTTCTGCCATTGGACTACGTTAGGATTTTTCCTGTCTGTATGAGTGAGTCTTATCAACACGTAAACACATTTAGCATCAGGGTTACAAGCCAGAAAAGTAAAGCATAGACTTCCTACAGTGTGAGGATAATCTTACGTGGACTCTCCGTACAAATCACAGCTTTAAAGCCGCGGTGGGGGAAAGCAGAAGATCTAACAAAGTAAAACATTTAATCATCGTTCTACCATCGAGGCTGGAATGACTTTAATCCAAATTGATGGGCAATGTGTCCTTGGCACGTACAGTTAAAGCCTCATGGGAAGATAATGATAGTAGGCTATTTTAATGAAAGAACATTTTGGTACTGAACTGAGAACAAATTTTACTACCCATGGCCTCCCTGGAGACCTGTTAATGTGTTTGCCATGTTGTTGCTGAGCTTTGTGAAATAGACATGAGATCATCAATGTGATGCCGGTCCTGATATTTTAGTACTGTACATATATGGTCTTCAAGGGGGGAAAAAACACCTCAGTTTTATTCAAAGGCCCAAACTGAGAAAGAAAATATGCAATTAGTGCAGTTGCTTATATTTATTTGACCAAAAAGTAAGATGAAATCTGTATAAATCTTTTTAACAGTAGAAATAGTTTACATAAGAAGTAGTTTATATAATATGTGGATAGAATTTTGCACAGAAAAGGTTATTTTTAATGTTTTGGTGCAGTGCAGTACCCTATAGCCTTTCATTTTCAGTGCATTAGTGTAAATGTGATTTTGTTCGCGTTTTATAAACTGAGGGAAATACTGTAATTATTTTCTACAGTAATTGAAAGTATGCCATGGATGCTGTCGATAGAACATAACTTGTATTGAAGAAATGTGGAAGACCACACATACATAAACACACAGTCTCTGTGTGTGTATATATACAGTATATATAGGTCATGTTCATAATTGAATGAATACAGTCTTACTCTATAATGCCCTCATGACCTGTAATATTTGTTGCCGTTTTAATAAACACCAAACACATATCTGTCTTTAGTAGTGTTTATCTGATATTGTAGACTAAGCAGCTACTGGCTGTTTCTACAAATCTCAAATGACCTATTTGTGTTTGAATCGTCCACATCAGTCTATAGTAGAAATATTAAAGCCACAAATCAAAATCATACAGCACACTGCACACTGTCTCTCTGTTCCCACACACACAAATCAAATCAAGCTATCATATGACACAACTACATGCAGCACAGAATGACTAATACCTTATTAAGAAGTGTGGTGGCACCAGGATACTTTCTAAACTTGACTTGAGTTTGCTAAGCATTGTGGGTAATGATTAGGCATAATTCTACTGCTGTTTAGAGCACTTACAGTTGATTATGTTTGGTGCATTCTGGGTCTGTTTTTTTAAAAGAAATTATTACTTTTATTCAGCAAAGATGCATTAATGAATAAATGAAAATAAAGTCATTTATAATGTCACAAAAGATTTTATTTTAAATGATTGCTGTTCTTTTGAACTTTCTATTCATAAAAGAAAAAAATATATATATATATACCACAGTTTCCACAGAAATATTAAGTAGCACAACTGGTGTTAACATTGATAAGAGTACGAAATGTTTCTTGAGCAGCAAATCAGTATATTAGAATGATTTCTGAAGGATCATGTGACACTGAAGACTGGAGTAATGATGCTGGAAATTCAGCTTTGCCATCACAGGAATAAATTACATTTTAAACTATATTCAAATAAAAAATAGTTAATAAAAATAGCAATAATAATTCACAATTTTACTGTTTTTACTGTATTTAATCAAACTTTGGAGAGCGTAAGAGACTTCTTTAAAAAAAGAAAAAACATTGAAAATCTTGCCAACTCTTACCAACTATAAGTGTTTTAAACCTGAACATATATGGTTTCTTAAATTAAACCAAGCAAAGTTGTAACAAAGTTGAAAGGCTGCAACTGCTGGACTGACCAAATACTGAATGTGAATGGATGATTTCTGTTTTTTTCCTATATTTTTTGTTTGTTTGTTTTACAACAATAATTCAACTTGATTTTTGGGGAAGTTGCTATTAAAATCCACTCAAAAATCAGAGGGGACACATGGGTATGACGCATCTGCACTCGCACGCTACAGCCTACGCGCTGCAGAAACCCCAGACATCCACATTACATTAGATTAATACTTCAGGGTTCTGCTGTTCAGATGTTCCATCAGAGCTGAGCTGAAGTCCTCAGTCTCTCGTGAGAAGAAACTATACGATAGTTTGCTGAAGAAGCATTCATTTTTGTTCACACTGACATGTGCCTCTGGCTTCCTGTGTTTTTGTCTTGCTCTCTCTTTTCTTGAGCAGATGTATTGTTGTGCTTAGCTGACGTTCGCTTGGCTTTTTCTCCTCCATTCTCACCCACACACAGAGTTCGTAATGAGAGAGTGGGTGTGGGCTTTCATTTTCATTATGTACTGAGGTCGATTTGGCTGCTGTTTTCTACTCTTCTGTTCTTTTTTTAATCTCCTTTCACCTTCTCTTGCCTTTTTCTTTTATAGAATTTCTTTCGTTTCTCATGTTCATACATTGAGCCATGGTATACGGATTGCTCTACATTGGATTATGGCCTGCCCACTTAGACAGGAAAGACCTGACTGGCATAACATGTAACTGACCACAGTTTTGTTTTAAGCACTGAGATTTCCGAAATATCACAAAAACAGACTGGTGTAAATTAAAGGAATAGTTCACCTAATTATGAAAATTCTGTCATCATTTGCATACCCTCAAATAGAGGC